CTTTTGGACTGAAGCACTGCAACACCCGCTGAGTGGCATTAAACAGCTTGAAAGATCAAAGACAATTTTTAATATAACTCCGACTGGATTCGTCTGAAAGAAGAAAGTCATATACACCTAGGATGCCTCGGGGGTGAGTAAAAAGCAGCTAACCCTTTAACTAGTTGCTTATTACCATGCCTGTTATTAACATATTGGCTGTTTGTTAGTACTTATAAAGCACATATTCTGCATGACAGTTTTCAACATCCCTAATCCTACCCAATACCTAAATTTAACAACTACCTTACTAACTATTAACAAGCAGCAAATTAGGAGTTGATTGAGGCAGAAGTTAGTTAATAGTGAGAATTGGACCTTAAAATAAAGTGTGACCAAAAATATTACTGTGTCTAGAGATTGGCATACTAATATACATACTAAAATACTTTTGATATGGAGTGAACACAGAGCAAGGTTTTGTTTTTTGTTTTTTACTAGTGGTCGGGGGTAGTGGGGAGAGAGAAATGTCAAATCTTTGTAGAAATCTGTATAGAAAGTACACTGGAAACAACTCGATTGACAATCAATCTGTTTAGACTTGTATACAAAGTACTCAAAATCTGCAGAACTTTCATTGCTAACTAAGCTGAACCAACACATTTTATCAGGATGCTAATGGTCAGAAACGGCCCAGCCATTTGCTTCCTATCCCCACATTTTCTGATTGTTGAGTTTTGTGGATTGAAACGCAAACTCACCCCTGCACACAAACACCCTCCATAGTTCAAACATAGTGTATATTACCTTTTCTCCTGACAACTCGGGTGTGAACAGATCATAAATCAACAGTCATAGCATGAATGGCTCCTACATGACGACTTCATGTGAACTAACAGAAGTGCAAAGGCACTTTTGTTCTCATGAACGCTTCCAGTCAAAGCACATCAGAACAATTTTGCCATTATCACTTTCATGTCAGGCTGGTAAAAACAGCTGTGTGCATGCTAACTCTTTCCATGGTTTATTTATTTCACCCATTACCACCTTCATTTCTGTTACAATCATTAAATCTGGATTGGATTCAGATACGGAGCGAGCGATAGAGCCATTAATGTTCTGTGCAGAACTTTGCCTTCTACGAGATGCACTCAGACCTACAGGATGAAAGAGCAGCATTTCATGTTCCCAAACTCCACTTTTCGACCCCTCACCGTGAGGTTGAAGCCATCGGCGCCAGTGACTCTGACTCTCCTTGAGGTGGCTCCAACTTCCAGCTTTTATTTCATTGTACCTTTATCTCTCTCGTCTGCCTCTTAACAGGATGTAGCAATCCATTAACGCTTCTCTTCATCCACAAAGTGACCCAGTCAACCTACTTCTTTTCCTCTAACTCTGTGCCCCTCTCTCTCCACTCACTTTTTGTGGGTTTTTTTGGGGGGTTTTTTTGTGATGCCAACCACGAGTCACCTTTTAAGGTTTTGACCCTGAATGGATATGGCTTAGTGCACAGCCCACCCTTCCTTTGTCACCGAGTCCCCAATTGGTCAGAGACGCTCAAGCATGAACGAGGAAATGTCAGATAAAAATAGGTCGACCATTACAGATATTTCATATCTACAGTACAGTATCTACTAGGTCTAAGAAATCTTTGTACATCAAGAAACAATCTGCATTCTGTTGCGCAGCAGTCAAACTAAAATAATTACATTAATAAAGTCAATAAATTGGAAGTTTAGGTATTATTATTATTGTTATTATTATTATTATTATTATAAAGGCTGAAATAGAAAAGGAATACTTCTTAAAAGCTGCAAAAGACAAACACATTAAAAATTCCTATAGTGAAATTTATTTGACTGATTTATTTTAATCAGACATTTCCATTTATTCATTTTGCAGAAGTTTTTAAAGCATCTTATGAATGAGAAAAATAAAAGCAGAAGAAATTAAATCAATGGAGAAAACCAGAAAACATCTGAAATTAAAGTGATTTAGTTTTATGGTAGATCTGAAAACTAACTAAACTAAAGAAAAAATTATTTTAAAGCATTTATTAGTCTAAGTGATTTTTTTCATTTAATACATTAATAAAATCAAAAGCTACGATCTGTTAATATTATTTAATAGACCTGAGCTGACATTAAGATTAGTAAGTACTATAACAAATGTATTGCCTTCAAATGTATTGTCTTCATTTACTCACTCTGAAGTTGTTTCAAACCTGTATGAGTTTTTCTTCTGTTGAACACAAAGATATTTTCAAGAATGTTGTAAAACAAAATAAACAGTAATTGACTTCCATAGTATGGAAAAAAATACTATTGAAGTCAGTGGCTACCATTAACTGTTTGGTTACCAATATCTTATTTTGCGTTCAACAGAAGAGAGAAACTCATACAAGTTTGGACCAACTTGAGGGTGAGTAAATGATGACAATTTTAATTTTTCTTTTTTAGATGATCACTGAATCACTGAAATAAACATCACATTTTCACAGTGAAAGAATCATTCTTCATTCTTCAGGCTGTGGATGTGGATGTAAAGAAAAGCTGTGAAAATGAATTCATTTTAAGAGTGCTGAATGAGAAAGGTATGATAAACTAAAATGTGTAAATTAGGAAAATTATACAACAAATTACTCACATGCAGATCAAGTCAAATCCGTTAATTAGGAGAAGGTCTCAAACAATGCTCATGTTTGCATGACCAGTGCAATTATCAGTTTGCGGAAGTTACACCACACCACCTAAAGCTTTAAAACCTCTCTGCCCTCTCTGACCTTTGGTAAAAGGCACTATAAAGAACAGATAAAATGTGTCCCAGTCAATATTTCATCTCTGTGTAACACATTCATGCTCTCAAAAGCAAAATACTGTGTCGTGATATTTTGTCAGATGAGACTCCTAGTACTAATTTAAAGGGATAGTTCACCCAAAAATGAAAATTCTGTCATTAATTACTCACCCTCATGTCGTTCAAAACCTGTAAGACCTTCGTTCATCTTCGGAACACAAATTAAGATATTTTTGATGGAATCTGAGAGTCTCTGACCCTCCCATAGACAGCAAGGTTACTACCACGATCAACACACAGAAACGTAGCAAGGACATCGTTAAAATAGTCCATGTGACATCAGTGGTCAACCATAATTTTACGAAGCTACGAGAATACTTTTTGTGCGCAAAGAGAACAATAATAACAATTTATTCAACAATTCTTCTCCTCGAGTTACCGTCCTCGGCCATTTTGGAGAGTACCTCAGAACGTAATCAATGTAATCAGCATTGTTTACGTTCAGTATGCGTGCACTGTCTACTGTACGTAAACAACGCTGATTACGTTATGCTCTGACAGCAGATGGCGCTGATGGAGCAGCAGAAATGCAGCCGTTACCACGGGAACCCCGTAACGAAAGCTGCTGCACTACTTTTTTTGTTTCAGAACAGGATTTAAATGTCATAAACCACAATTAAAATTTTTGTATTTGCAGTGTTTAACACTTAAAATCAAAAGGTGTAACTATTATTTAATGGATCTAAGCTAAAGACTAACAAAGTTAACGTTAACATAATTACTTCTGTAACAATTGTAGCTATTTCTCATTGTTAATATTAGTTAATGTATTAACTAACATTTACTAATAAGACCTTCTCGTAAAGTGTTACCAATTGTTCTTTATAATTCTGTTGCACTTTAATCAGTTTGAAACATTTGTTTACTTTAAACATTTCAATTCAATTAAGCAATACACAAAAAATGTATAGAGTTCTTTTCATTATAAGAAAAACCTGTTACAGTATAACAACACTTCTTTTGCAACTTATTTCAATATCATGACAAAATCTTAACAAAACTGAAGCATGCATTCACCATTACGTCTTGAACTTGAGAGAATGTACCGTATTGTTTCCCCAGCAGTTTTACAGGCAGGACATGCTTTGCTGCACATGTGCTAATGGCGCTCTAACAGTCAGATGCACAAAGAATTAGTATGCCGTTCACTGATTTTTAATGTCAATTAAAACCAGGAGTGTGACAAGACCTCCATAAAACAACTGCTCCATGACAGGAGCTGCTCTCCGTAGCTGCTCTGTGGCCCTTGAATGAGTTATGCTAATAGACACCAGCCATTTTGATTTGCATATGGCATATTTTCTCTCTTCATTGATTTTGGGATGGAAGGCTTGACTGGATTGACAGTTTATTTGATTGGATTGATGTTGTATGACATTCTCTGCGGCACAATGGGCTTACTTCATTTTTGCACTCTCGTTTTCACTTAGCACAAATCCAATAACGATTGATTGCACTATACTTGAAACCGTTTCGAAAGTGCTTTGCAATCAGGTTAAATTAATTAAATCTTGGGACAGACATGTTGCAGAAGAACCTTAAAGGCCGGGACACACCAAGCTAACTTCAAAGAACTAGCAGCGGTGAAAGCCGACGGTGTTGTCACCTCACATTGGCAGCGTTGGACCAAAAATCTGGGCTTGAACACACCGCACAGACTAAAGCCAACTGCAAACTAAACACGTGCGTTCTGCATCTGCATGAGAGGAATTAGCTGTCTATATCAGCAGCTATCAATAGTAAATATTCATCATTCAAAAGGAAAAACCGAAACAAGGATATACGCAGATATATGAAAAATATATACGGTGGCAAAGCTGAATTTTTAAATCCTTAAAAGCAACTCCTCGATCCAGCATGTTCAGTGCTTTGGTCAGTGACCCTGATTGTTTATCATCCTGCCTCCTATATGCTGTTTAGTTCCTGTTTCCATGACAGGCTGACCCAGTTAAAAGACATACACACCTTAAAATGGTTAAGAGGAATAAATGGCTAAGACAACATGAAAACCTATTAAAACTCAAATATACATAAAATCAGTATAATATATTGAGCAGGTTAAAACGTGTCCTGTGTGACAGTGTCACATACTAATACATTATTAAAATCAAACGGTATTTCATGGACATGAGCTGACATGGACTAAAAATGAACAGTTGTATGTTTTAACATTAACGTAGATGAATAAATACCTTAACAAATGTATTGTTCATTGTATATAGTTAACAAATGGAACTGTATCAAAAAAGTGATACCCAGTATTTTGTTTGACCTAAGTGAAAATATGCAGTTGTTATGTAATTTGTTTAATTGGATTCTCTTTTTCCATACGACTGATGACGATCATGATGTAAGTCAGTTACTGAAGCTCCCGAAGCAGCTAAACTACTGATCTCCAGTACTGAACACATGCATTTGGAGCACATCTGGCCGTGCAAAAACCCTCCGAAAAATATATATTCATTACTACAACTCCTCACCTCCTCCTCATTCCAGGAACGGCGGCTGCCACCACAAGGACGCATCAAAGATAGCACAAGAGGGGAATCTGAGAATGAGACACACTAGGTCACACATAAGGGTTTGATATGCCTGGCTTTCACACCTGTGAAGTGGGAAATGGCGCTCCGTAGCCGACCGAGGGTGAGATTAGGAAGTCATTTTGATTAATGTTAAATCACACACTGTGGAGTGGGAGTAGAATCAGCTCAGCACAAGGAGTGAGAACCACGTTACACAGTCCCTTACTGCTACTGGAAGCAAAGCACTCTGGGAGAGTAAGCGCATCTACTGGCGAAATCAATTTGTCAAAGCTGCTAGGATGCTTTTGAATCCAGTCTTTGATGACAGTGCTCCCTATCTCCCTCTCCTAATGACACAATCTTGATCAAAACGAAGAGATGACAAAGATCTTCACAGACTAAAACAGTCCCATGCAACCTTTGACGGGATCAAAACGAACAGAAAAACCAGATGCATATCCACAGAAATGCTAACCAGTTTTGATTTAAAAATGTAGACGTTTCCCTCTTTAGCCACATCAGTTGCAGCCAATCAGCACATGATCTGGCCATCAAATCACACTTTTTACCATGCTATTTTGTCCCAAGCCTGGATTTTGGCTTGGACCAGTAAAGCAAGTATCCCGGGGAGAGCCTGGTTCCTTACTGTAGGTGGAGTAGACGCTTCCAAAGACGAGCGAGCACCTTGGGGCTTCTTGAGGAAGCATTATACAGCCCTGTTTTATCCTTACCCATTTATGAAAATACAGAAAATCTAGCTTGTGCATATATGTAATCCAGAGGAAATGTTCAAATAAGCATATCTGGACACAGCACCAGCCGATACTGTGAACACAGGCAAACCACGAAAACACTCTAATCTATATTCATGCCATACTAATAATGTCATACTAATATGACATTATCACATTGGGGTGTAACGGTACATGTATACATAATGAATATTTTCGGTACAGGTCTTTAGGTTTGGTATGCATGTGTATAGAACAAATAGTTTGTTTTAACCACTGCATATGCAGAACTTAATTTGAAACACCTAGTTATATCTTCATTTTAATAAATCATTATCAATGCTTAAATCCCAATATCAATCTTTTAGTCTATGTTGTTTCAGTTGATGCATGAACAAAACTTTACTAGACATTATATAATGTGCCTACCATCCCACTTTTTTGCTACTTTCAATAAGAAACAACATTTCATCCTTCAAATTCTGTCCATTTTATCAGGAAATTTAAACAATAAAATCTGTTTTGGTGTAATGAGGACGCTGAGGCGGAGTCTGAATCCATGTGCGGGAGTTTATGTGAGGGAACGTCAAGGCAGGCAGAAGGTCGAAACCAGAATGACAATCCAATGTAACAACACTTACAGGGGCAATCCAGAAGGCTAAAGTGAACAGGCAGGCAAAAGGTCCAAACACACACATCCGTCCGATCAGGCAAACTAAGCAAGGGGAATAATCCAGGTAAACGTTAGGTCGGTAAACAGGCAGAATCATACACTGAACAGGCAATCAGAATCACAATAGAGAACGCTTGGTAAGGCAGGTTTAACTGGCAATACTTCGCGATGAGCATGAGCACAGTCTCTGGCTATAAAGGAACCAAACAGGAAATGAGTGTAGAGGAAGCAGAGGGAGTGGAACACAGTCAGTACTCGGGTGAGGGCTCCCTCTGCTGGCTTGGCATTACATTTGGTGCTCTTTCATCTGTCATAACAGATCACTGTATACATGCCAGCATGCTCCTATGGTTAACAGCATTAACATTTTTTTATCCTTAAAATTTTATTCAATTATAACTGAATTTAAGACAGCAGACAGATTTTTGGTCAGACTTTGGTTTGGGGATACATTTTCACTATTAACTATGACTTTTGCCTTAATAAACTCCTAATTTGCTGCTTATTAATAGTTAGTAAGGTTGTTGTTAAGTTTAGTTATGGGGTGGATTTAGGGGTCTAAAAGTTGATCGTGCAGAATAACACATTAATATGTGCTTTATAAGTACTAAAAATAGCCATTATGCTAGTAATATGCATGCTAATAAGGAACTAGTTAATAGTGAGAAATTAGTCCCCAAACTGAAGTGCTACTGATTTTTTATCCTTTTTTTATTTTAATTGAATTTTTTTAAAGACAGAGGCACAAATTTGTTCAGTAAACCACTGTTTAATAAAAAAA